TAGTGATAATATGCATTTTATTATTTTATTGGCAGGCTCTTGAGCAAGCTCTGGTTCGTCAAGCGGAACTTCTAGCATACGTAGAGAAGAAGAGGAAGAAGAAGAAGTTCTTGGGGCTATTTTGAGTTTTTTTAAGGAACATGAAGATGTATTCTTCTTGAGATGGGGCTTTACAAGGATAGTCAATATGAAACATCCACTGATTAAAATAGGTTTGGCTCAGGGAATCATCTGGAGATGAGATGCTGATCATGAAATTAAGAGATTGAGGAGTTAAGAATGTCTGCTCCTATGATTATCTTAAGAACTAGAAGCAATGAGAGAAAAAAGGTGAACAAGGGAGGATAATGTCACTATATTTTGTTGGACCATTGCATTGGAAAATTGACAGCAATTTGTAGAAGGTTTGAATGGAATGGACTAATAGGGGTCTAGACTCTAGAGAAGTTTAGCCCTTGGGCTATATAAATTAAAGGATTGAAGTTGTATACGTGTAAATATTTTCTACACTATCAATTTAGTTAAACCGGTTATAGGTTACTTATCTTTTTCCAGGTCTTCAAGTCAAGCTCATTATAGATTTATTGTGGACTTTCAACTAACTTGATTATATAAAGATTATAATGTCCACGTAAAAAGTTTAAACTCCACATTATTTTGTAATGGTAGTTTAGTCGGCAACAAATGACTTGTTTTATGATGGGAAGTTAGATCGGAATGATTGGTAATATTATAGTCTTCTAAAGGTTCATATGACAACAAAACTTATTAAAGAGTAACATTTTTATTTTCTCTTCCAAATATTTTAACCATCATCAAGTGTCATCAGTTGAATTTATATGAGCCTAGCACTTTGACTTGGAACCTAATCGCACTTAGAACCTACCCATGCCCAGCAGGGCCATTTGGAACCTAACTGTGCCTAGCACGGCCACTTGCAAATATTATTTGCGCATAACATGACCACTTAAAATCTACCTGCCCCTAGCACGGTCACTTGGAATCTATCTCCACCTAGCACAGTTATTTGGAATCTACCTGCGCCTAGCATGATCACTTGCAACCTACCCTTACCTAGCACAACCACCAGTTGAACTCGTAAGCTACACATCCGCCCATTCTAAGTAGGGGTTTCACTACTAAAAATTCGTCCAAAACCGAGCGCCGCAAACTGATAGACTTTGTTGGGTCAAAAACAAACCGAAGTCGGTCGGTATTTTAAAATATTTTATTTTTCAATTTTTTTTTATGAAACCGACCATCTTCAGTTGGTTTTTTTGGCGCAAATATGCGGGAAGCTATTTTGGCATCCCGCAAAATTTATTTTATAAGAAACCAATCAAATTTGGTCAGTTTTTTTTATATAAAATAAATTAAAATTAATATTCAAAAAATCTTTCGAAATCGGTCGATTATTTCAGTCTGTCATTTTAACAAACCGACCGATTTCAGTCAGTAATTTTGTATTCTTAATACCAATCGAAATTGGTCGGTTATTTTCGCGCAAAAATGCAATTAAAGAACAACAACAACAACAACAACAAACCCAGTAGTTTCCCACAAGTGGGGTCTGGGAAGGGTAAGATGTACGCAGTCTTACCCCCTATCCTTGGAAGGGCAGAGAGGTTATTTCCGATAGACCCCCGGCTAGAGAACGACCGAAAAAGAAAAGGTAATTACAACAAGTAGGAGTAACAGCAAGATGAAATAAGATCAAATCCAAGAATGCAGTCAAACTCTAAGTAGTAATAGCTATCTATGAATAAAAGATATCATACTAACACTAATGCTAGCGAACTAAGTAAGACAAAGAGAAACGCTCGACTACCTACGAACCTTCTACCCTAATCTTTGACCTTCAAATCTACAAATAAAATAGAAGATAGTCTTAAAACAAAATGTGGGTCAAATTCAAAAATAGCCATATTTACAACTGGTCGTTCAAAAATAGCCTAGTTTCAAAAGTAATCGAAATTTAGCCACTTTCCATTTAAAGATAAATCTGAGCGGAAACACTATTCAAAACCCGAAAAATATGTCAGTATATTATGCTGGAGTTCCGGCATAAGTATACTTGAACTCCAACATATTATACTGGAGTTCCAGGAAAAGTATGTTGAAACTCCAGCATAATATGATGAAGTTCCAGCATAAGTACACTAGAACTCCAGCATAATATACTGGAGTTCCAGCAAGTATACTGGTCCAACATAATATACTGGAGTTTGGAGCATCGGTGCTCCAGTCTCCAGTATATTATATTGGAGCCAGCAAAGTATAACGGTCCAGCATAATATGCTTGAGTTCATACACATGTGCACCGAACTCCAGTATATTATGCTGGATCGGTCTCTGTTGCAGCAAAATAGTGGCTATTTTTCATTGACTTGGTAAATGCTGGCTATTTTTGAATGACCAGTCCGAAAACTGACTATACCGTGCTATTTTTACACAAAATGTACTAATAGTCTAGTGGTAGAATAGTATCCTGTATAGTACAGACCCCGGTTCGATTTTCAGACGATGTATTTTTTAATTGCATAATTAAAATACCGACTGACTTCGGTCCAGGCTTTGGCAATTTTTTTTTTTGGTCACTTGTGAATTTATTGACGTGCGACCGAATTTGATCGCTATTATTATCGACTAGTCTAATTTTGACGAATTAAAGTCGATCGGAAATCGATCAATTTTTCTAATTTTTCAACCGATTTCGGTCGATATTTATGAACGATTTTAGATAATTTTCTAACAGTGTTTGAGGAAACAAATGGTTATGTGACAATTTCTTAACCAGTAAGGAAGAGATGGGGCAACCAACGAATCGGCTACTTTTGGATGGAATTTCACCACGTAGATACATTGACTAAAAACCATGCAAAATTGGAAAGCGTTAAAGTGCCGAATCAGTACATAATATAAAGGGGAGAATAATGAAAGCACGAATGTTATAGCCCGTTTGGCCAAACTTCAAAAATCAGCTTATTTTGATAAGTGTTTTTTTTAAAGTATTTTTTTCAAAAGTACTTTTGGGGAGAAACAGTTTATGTTTGGTTAATTAGTTTGAAAAGCACTTCTGAGCAGCAATTAGTGTTTGGCCAAGCTTTAAAAAACTGCTTCTAAGTGTATTTTTCTCAAAAGTGCTTCTCAAAAAAGTGCTTTTGGAGAGAAGCTACTTTTTCTGCTTCTGCTTCTCCTCAAAAGCACTTTTTTCTTCCAAAAGCTTGGCCAAACACCTCAATTTTTGACCAAAAACACTTTTGACAAAAAAAAAACACTTTTGACCAAACAGACCATTACAATCTTACAAATAAATATAATTTATTTCTACATTTGCTTCCGTTACATATAAAGATCAAGAAAAGAGGGAAACGAGATAAAGAAAGTATCCTCTTGAAAAGTACAAAAATCAAATGAATATTTAATACATACCCCAATTTTTATTTTCCCTCATAATTGATTAAAATATTTACTGTAAAAGACATCCTCTTATCCTTAACCTTCTTGAGGTTTTGTATTTGTATACATAAAATATTATTAAATAGTTGTGACTGCCAAAAGTTAGATTCTTAAAAAAATTCTCGCCCTCACTCACACACACTCTCTCTGAATTCTCTTTACTATATATTGGAGATATTTAATTTTGATATGTAATTTGCTATTTCAATGACTGTAATTTTCTCCAATCATTAATTGCAAATGACAAATATCTATTGTGATTCATGAATTTAACAATGAAAAAATTGTTAGTATAAACTTGATAAAGTTCTCACATTATGCTAGTTGATATAGAAGGATTATCCATATGAGACTTTTTCCTTTTCAATTTTATTATGTGTTCTTCTTTTCAATTTCTTTGATGCTTAGGTTCAACGAAACCACAAATTTGGGTCCATAATACGTACTCATATGTCTGATTATAGCTAAGAATTATTCCTTATCCAAATCATGAGTTGGAAATGCTATTCAAAGTTCAAATTATATTAATCAGTTACTTGTAATAATAATAATTATGGACTATTTCTGCATTTGACTAAGCTAGTTCTGCCCAATGAAAGAGAGGCAGTGGAGTAAGGTACTAGTAAAAGGCTTTATAAAAAGCTAGCATTATTCTAGACATAATGAATTGTTAACAGAAAGTTTCCCAAGAGATAAAAGTATAAAAGAAGAAGATATCAAGAGTTAAAAGAAAAAAGAAACCTAACACACATAAAAAGTAGAAAACAGAAGAACTTTTCCCTTCTTTTTAAACAATTTTTTTTGGGGGGAAATGGGCCTTAATAATGGAGGAAGTAAATACATAAGATTTAATTTTGTAGTTCATTACAAATTTCATTTTAGTTATATATGATTGTTTTTACGGGAAATATAATCAATAAAAAATAACATAGGAGATACTATATATAAAATATGTTGGGTGTGCGAATCAAGTCCTACCTGAAAAAATTAGGATCCTACATATATAAAGTGTAGGAATCTCTTAATGGTATGAGGCTTTTGGGGAAAACCCTACAGGCTGACTCAAAGCGAATAATATTACACCATGTTAAAAGTATTATTGGACCATTTTAGCCCAACAACTTGTGTGAGAACCCAAGTTACGCGATACAGAGTAGGCCGATGGCAAAAGTGATGACGTGAAACTCGGTTGACTTCCCCTTGCGAGCTTAGAGATGCACACTGATAAAAAGAAGCTAGTTATGAGCTTTGGTTGGTATAAATACTTTAACGATGTGAGTGACGCATAATAAATCTCGAAAATTAACCCGTAAATCTTACGTGATGATAGATCATGTGGAACTTAGTTCAAGGGATATGTACACCATCAAATAGTGTACATATTGATTACAGATTCACACCTATGAATAAGGGTAAAGTTGCAATTTGCAACTAATCAAATCCATTAATCCCGAAAGAATATTATCTCTAGATTTATAGACTATATATATACCCCAACATTGCCTCTTAAATCCCTTAGATCCTTCCAAAAAAAACATATATAGAAACCATCAAAATTACACTCCCACCCAAATTAAGCTTGCTCTATTTTTAGCAAGGAAAGTGAACAAATTAATGGACTCCTTCAAAGTGGAGAATAAAAGTAACATTCTTAGGTACAAAACTCTCTTTCATTTCATCGAGCTGTTCATTTTCTTGGTCATAATCTCAAGATTTTCAACTCAACTTCCATTAACTTTTAAGCTATGTATAGAATATTTCAAAGCACTATTCATAATCCTCATTAGTCCCATATTCATCTTTGTTCTTGGAAATGCAATTGTCATCATCTTATTCTTAATAAAATCTTGTCATTTATCAACTAAAGAATATGGTTCAATAGTCAACGACCCTAAAGTTTTCAGACCCCACTTATGGAATTATACTAAATTTGTTGTTACGGTCAAAGATCCTAAAGACGAGTTATATAAGGATAGCATCTGCATTTCCTCAGGTAGAGAAGTAGAAAGGAAAATCTGTAGGAGCCAATCAGAGAACTATACGAGGAATTTATCTTATGCCGAGGAGCGGCCTAATAATAGGGTATTGAGGCGGTCGGCGACGATAGCATGCCGGAGATACGGCGAGAAACCGGCGGCGGAGATGAGTAGTGAAGAGTTCAGACATACAGTGGAGGCGTTCATTGCTAGGCAGCAAAGATTTTTGAGGGAAGAAGAGTCTTCAGCTATTGTTTTTTCTGAAGCATAGCTTTTTTGTTCTCTTTAATTTTCCTTAATTAAGAAAAAGAATTTAACTTTCCTTGTTAGTGAACTAAAACATAGAACATAGGTACTCTTCGATATAACAAGGACGAGACGACGTGACATACTATGATCACGTACAAAAGTGATGTTCTTTCTCTCGGTAATATGGAACCTCGCCCTTGATTGACACAGGTATAGGTGTCAATGGATCGCTTTTACTAATAGAGCATTTTCCCATGTGCACATACAAAAATTTCCACTTTCAATAATATACGTCGACATTTGTATTGAAGTAGCATAGAGTTTCGCTTTGAAGCCGGCAAATTGTAAAATAATGGATGTAACGGAATATTTACACTATTAGGCTATTTGGAAGATAATTATGCTAATTATTGTTTTTCATAATAAATCATGAGATTAGTAATATAAAAAATAAGATAGGTTACCTCTGGATCCCACAAGAAGTTAATAATACACAGATATTGCATGTCTGTTTCCAATTTTTCTTAATGCACTTCAAAATCTTTAACTGAACCTAGTCAATTGATTCAATAAAAAAAACTAACCTAAATCAAATCAAGGATTCCCTGAGTAAGAATCCTCGAATCATCACTTATTTCCTGAATAAATAGAATGACTAAAAATTTAAAGAAAGGTTTTGCCTTTGGTCAAAATATAAATAGGGGTGGAAAGAAAAGAACCTTTCGATTTAGAAATTAGTATTCTTTGTTTGAAATTTTTTGGAGCCATGATTTTTGCTCGACAACTTCTATACGATGATTCATTTTATTATTTGTCATCTTCATTTTGGTACATAATTTATTTCATAAAATTGTTGCACCGTAGATTCTTAAACAAAATTAAGACGACCATAAGAAATAAATTTAGAGTTCTATGTTCTATTTGTCAAGTCAGAGTTGAAGAATCTATAAGTTAGGAAATTTTTAAAGAAAAAATAGTAATCTTAGTCCCTAAATTAGTACTTTATTCTTATTTTGGTCCTCGTTTTATTCACGTAATTATTCTTTAAATTTTAATGTGTGTTTCTTTAAAAAAATATTTGAAACTAAAAGAAGTTAAATACTTTAACGAAGTTATTTTGTTGAAAAGAAAAAAATAAAATGGGAAAAAGATTTTGTTTTTTAAATAAAAGAACTTGGGGAGTATCCCTGCTCCCTACCACTATTAATGCCGCAAAAATCGCTAAAACAAAAAATTATAATTAAAGATTTTTTCAATTGCACAAACCCAAATCACTTAAGTTTGTAAGGGCTCATCACGTCAGCAAAATCTGCCTTTAATAAACTCTACTTTCTCTTACTCAAATCCACCCATTTTGAGCTTTCAAAATGCCTATAAATTTATTCACTATGACGAGTTTTTTTGTCAAAATTATCCCTAAGTTATCCTTTAAAATAAGTCAGAGCACTATTTATTTAATCCTCTAAATTTGCAAAACTTGAACAAACAGTCAAACTAAGAAAACGGACCAAATAGAGGCTGAAACTACCGGACAAATACCATCCAACTATTAACAAAAAATTATATTTTCGTAATTGACAACGTTTAGGTTTAATAAATGGCCCTTGCGTCTTTTTTTTGTGTAGGCTTCGGCTAACATGTACCGACGTCGTAGGACTCTGTACCAAATGCTACTATATAGGAGTAATACAATATTTGTCATATACTAAATTGCATTTTCAAAAAATACTTAGTTGAATAAATTATGAATATTAGGTACGTAGATTTGATGAATAATTTAACTGATAGTTCGATTGCAGATAATACAAAATTATATCAGTCTGGTATAGTTTGATATAACAATTGAACAAGCACAAAGTCATGCCAACTGAATATAGTTGTGAATAATTTAACAAATAAGTGAAACGCAGATAACATAAAACCACGCCAAACTGGCAGAATTTGGTAAGCAATTAAACAAGAACAAAATCATACCAAATAGATAGACTTTGACGAATAATTTAAATTAAAAAATCCCTGAAGAATAATAACTGTGTGCACTGATCCCGAGACTAATTTTTAAATAGTACTAATTACCAAGCAAAAGCCAAAAGAAAACAAATTGAAAAAGAAAGAGAGAAATAAAAGAGCACCTGCACACGTGAGTTGGAAGTGGTGACCCACCAAATATCCAAAAATCTCGACAGAATTCCCCACATTATTTCCAGAATCTTCCTTAAACCCCCAAAAATTTGGCCTTAATCTCCACAGAATATTGCATTCCAATATTCATAGTATTGTCTATCTTCTGCGGCCAAAGAGAAAGCAGCAGCAACTCTCCAATTCTTTCTTAAAAAAATGTAATGTAAAAGAAACACTGACAGAATCATCACTGTTAATAAGTGCCAAATCTCTCAAGTGATCGAGAAAAATTTGAGTATTCGAGGTAATTTTATGCCTTCAAATCATAGATAAATGTGTAGATTTAGGGTTTCAATTTGAGGATTTTGAAAATTGCAGCATTTACTGAAACAGCCTAGATTTCTAGTGGGGTTCAATTAAATATACGGAAAAGGGCCTAAAATGTCCCTTTACTATATGAAATAGGATATGCTAGCCCTCCGTTAAAAGTTGGTCTCTATTCTGCCTTTGCCGTCAACAAAACTCGTAAAGCCACGTGGAATATATGTGAGGGCAAGTTAGACCTACTTCGAATTGTACAGAGGCATATATGAGTCAATTATAATAGTCATTTCTCAAACACTTCACAACTTCATATCAGTTTACTTAGATACCTATTTGACAATACCAAACTAATTATCACAACAAATAAACTAAGTCATAGACACAAACATTCAAATGAACGACAATGACTTCATTAAATTCTAGTAGCTCAAAAGGGCGAATCCTAGAGTTTCAAATCTCATATGCAGTTTAAAGAAGGAAAATGAAGCTCTAATCCATGAAAGAAATGCTCTCCAAAGGAAAATTTGATCTTGAGAATGTTATGATGCTCGTCGATCATGGAGGAATAAAAGCCTTGGAATTGGAAAGAAATGTTCTAATGAAGAAAGTGACCGATTTAGAGTACTCGGTTGTACTTGATGCTAAATTTCGGAAGAAGATGTGGATTTTCATGTGTGTGATATTGGGATGTCTTATTGTGTTCTTTGGATTAGTGCGAAATGATATGTAATTTTAGTGATATTGTGGCTTAATTGTTGTCTTTTATTATGTAATGAAGCTTTATGTTTTTATACAAGGATTTAATAAAGTCATTGTCGTTCATTTGTTGTGTCTATGACTGAGTTTATTTGCTATGATAATGAGTTAGGTGTTGTCACCTAAGTAAACTGATATGGAGTTGTGAAGTGTTTGAGAAATGACTATTATAACTGACTCATATATGCCCCTATACAATTCGAACTAGGTCTAATTTGCCCTCACATATATTCCACGTGATTTTATGAGTCTTCCGTTAGTGATGGAGGGCATATACAAGCCCATTTGTTGACGGCAAGGGCAGAATAGAAATCAACTTTTAACGGAGGGCTAGCCTGTCCTATTTCATATAGTAAAAGGGCATTTTAGGCCCTTTTCCGTTAAATATATAATTTTTGACGCGGAGTATAAATTATGTGTAAAAATTCACTAAAATTGCAACAAATAGTATATTGAATCTAAAGTTTTAAAAATATGATCGGTTTAATGTTAAGAACCTTTAAGTGTGGAACCCATAAAATTTAAATTCTGGATCCGTCTATGGGTCTGCATACACACTACCCTCCAGACCCCACTTATGGGATTACACTGGTTTGATATTGTTGTTGCAGCATTTGCTTTTGATTATTTTACGCTTTCCTTTGGGTTGGTTGCTGTTATTCTACCATTTGAGTAATATGGATAGTAGGTTAGCAATCTGGTTAAAGATATTTTATTTGAATGCTTTATAATGGGGCAAAGCATAGATTTTATAAAACTAGAAAGTGTAATATCGTATTGCACTGGTTCTAACTGTTTCGACTTTGATTATAATGTCATTTTAATACATAGTGTTTTGTTTTATTTAGAATCCATGGAAAATATACTTGTTTTCCTTCAGCACGATGGAGTATGGGAAAGTGACCACAATTTTGTGAATTTTGCTGTTAATGGGATTTTGATCACTACTGAGTGCAAATTTGAAGAATTAGTTTCAATAATAGCAACGCATTTAGAGAAGGATATGGATACCAACTCGATAGTTATTAAGTACATAGTGAAGGATGGATATCCGCCAATGACGGTACACAATGATATGAGTGTTCGACTGTATATTGAGCTGAAAAGGAAGAATTTGGAATTCACAGAGTACCCGCTTTGCATAACTTTCAAGGATAAGCGTACTACTGGAAGTTGCTCAAATGCTAATCCTGTTACAGTTTCATCGGATGGTATACAGAGTGAAAATATGCCTGAAATGTACCTTCCTGATACAGTTGAGTTAAAAAGTTCTGTGCATGGGGAGGATTGTAATGGTGTACGAGCTGATGACAAAGGTATAATAAACATTGCAGATACCATTGAGCCGATAAGTCTGTTCATGGGGAGGATTGTAATGTACCTGATGACAAAGGTATAATAAACAATGCAGATACCATTGAGCTGATAAGCTCTGTTCATGGAGAGGATTGTAATGTACCTGAAGACAAAGGTATGATAAACGATCCAGATACCATTGAACCGATAAGTTCTGTTCCTGCGGAGGATTGTAATAGTATACATGATGATGTTAGAGCTATAATAGACAACCCACGACATCAAGATGTTGAACAAGGTCAATTGTACCAAGACAAAGAGACCCTTGTCAATGTTATGAAGCATTATGCCATCCGAAAAAAGATTCAGTTTAGAGTTGAAAGGTCAAGTAGTAGCAGGTATTGCATGGTATTTTACTGGTATAATAGTATATTTTTCATCTCTAGTATTTTTTATGAGTACAAACCGAATATTGATAGTGTATGTATATGTTACCAACAGCTATTGTCTTGTATGCTTGGACGACAATTGTTCCTGGACTTTAAGATCTTCAAGCCTGAACAACTCAAAGCTCTTCAAAGTAAGAAAGTTCAATGATGTTCACACGTGCTCGATAGAGGAAATATTGAGTAAACAGCGTCACGCGACTTCTGAGATCGTTGGAGGTATGATCAGAAACAAGTATGCTAATGCAGAATCTGAATACACTCCAGCGGACATAATGCGTGACATCAAAAAAGATTATGGTGTGGACGACAATTGTTCCTGGACTTTAAGATCTTCAAGCCTGAACAACTCAAAGCTCTTCAAAGTAAGAAAGTTCAATGATGTTCACACGTGCTCGATAGAGGAAATATTGAGTAAACAGCGTCACGCGACTTCTGAGATCGTTGGAGGTATGATCAGAAACAAGTATGCTAATGCAGAATCTGAATACACTCCAGCGGACATAATGCGTGACGTCAAAAAAGATTATGGTGTGGACTTGACCTATATGAAGGCTTGGAGAGCGAAGCAAAAGGCGCTTGAAATATTGAGAGGGAATCCAAGCGAATCGTATGGGAAGCTACCGAGCTACCTGTACATGTTGATGCATACAAACCCTGGATCTGTCGTGAAACTGCATAAATCAGAAGGTGGCTCCTTCCTGTACGTTTTTGTATCGTTGGATGCATCAATTAAGGGATGGGAATATTGCAAGCCTATTGTGGTAATTAATGGGAGCTTTCTATCAGCGCGCACGGGGACCTTAATCACGGCTTACACGCAGGATGCAGCTGGTGAGTTAAGTCGAAATAACAAATGAATATTTACAAATCAGTAGGTATAAAGTTTATATACATGTAAGTTACAATATAGTATCGTATATATGTTGTACATTTTTACTATATGATACTTATATTTTAACCTCGTATTTGCAGTATTACACCGGTTGTGTATAAGTTGTGACACTGTTGATCTAAGTATATGTTTACACGAGTTTTTTTGATTGATTGTAACAGGTAAAAAAATTTTGCTCACGTATTCTGTGGTTGATTCAGAAGATGATGCATCTTGGGAGTGGTTCTTTGAAAGGTTCAGGGACACTTATGGTGCTAGGGAAGGGATGTGCATAGTATCCGACATGCATGAAAGCATCTTAAAGGCGACTTCGGTTGTTTATCCGGGAGTGATTCACCGTGTATGTATGTTCCATTTGTGGAACAACATAAAGATGAATTACACAAAGAATCATATACCTATCAAGGAACTATTCTTCGCGTCGGCCAAAGCATACACGGTAGAAGAATTTGACCGCCATATGGCTGAGATAAATAACATCGATAAGAGGGTCGGAGAATACTTGTTAAATGTTGGATATCATAGATGGTCAAGAGCGCATTCCAAAGTCCAGGGAACCACGATCATGTCTTTAAACATTGCGGAGTCTATGAATGCAGCGAACAACTATGCAAGAGATTTACCAGTACTGCATTTGCTGGAATACATGATGAAGTTGGTTCAGGATTGGCATCACGCGAACAAGAAAAATGCAATAGAGACATCCACAAAGCTGGCAAAAAAATATGAAGATATCATGAGGGAAAATTACATTACATCTCAGACAATGACGGTAAGATTCCATTACCATGTTTCTTTCATACAAAAAAATGAAATCGGAACACATGCAGTATATAAACCCGTCTATATGTAGTACATAAATGGTATATATGCAATATATAGTCTATATGTATATATAAGAAAATAAAAATGGACCGCAGATGGTAGAGTATATCACTGATCATCTTTTTCAAGGTGTAGGTGAAGCCTTCCACCGATTACTTATATACTGTCATTGAAGATGAAAAACAATTTGTGGTGAACCTGGGAGAGAGAACATGCACTTGCATAAGGTTTCAAATAGATGAAATGCCGTGTCCGCATGCTTTGGCAGTTGTCACGTACAGAAGCATGGATGCATATGAATACTGCTCTATCTACTACAGCACGGATTACTTGCTGAAAACGTATGAAATACCAGTGTATCATGTTTCTGATGAAAGCACTTGGGACATTCCTAGAGAGATCTTAGAAGATGTGGTGCTACCTCCGACAGGTAGAGTTAAACCGGGAAGGCCAAAGAAGTTGAGAATCCAGTTGTTGCCGGAATCACAAGCTAAGAGGTGCAAAACGTCATGCGGACAATGTGGACAGGAGGGTCACAACCGAAAGACATGCGAAAGTCTACGGGAGAAAACTTGACATGTTTGTTGGTTTGCATTTTTTCTATTTAACTCAATCATTGTAATTGGATTCACTGATTACAAAGTTTGGTATGAATTAATAAAAACAGTTACTGTCAGGTTTTTCTTATAACACTATGTATTTTTTTTATATTAGTATATACTTTTCCAGTATATTCATTGATTAAACATTACGTTGGATGTTAACGGTATAGTTACTCAATTCAAGCGAAATACAGAGTTGAGCTTCAAACCAAGGTTCAACAACAGCAACAACATACCAGTGTAATCTCACAAGTGGGGTCTGAGAAGGGTTGTGTGTACACAAACTTTATCCCTACCTTGTGCATGTAGAGAGGTTGTTTCCGATAGACCATCGGCTCAAGGAGTACAAAAACATAGCAGTATATAGGAAATACGATAGTGAAGAAGACATGAGCAAAGAAGCGTTCGCTAATAACATAACTGAAGTGGAATACAAAGTGGATTATACTTCACTTATGGTATATCAAAGTAAAGATTATTTTGCTTTTTAAGTAGACTTAACTCGCAGAATTTGAAGTTTCTTCTCGTCTTCGATAGCTTTGGTTTGGTTAGACCATTACATATTTCCCCTTCTCCTCTCTAATGTAGAGTGTAGTTGGAGGCAGCAATAATCTCCTTGAGTACCAGCTAACCTTTTGAACAGAGGAAGTCTAAATTTCAATCCACTACGCCTCAATGTTGTCAACGAACAATCACCTTGCCTTACTAATATATAAATTTTTTCGCATTATCTTCCTCCGATAGGAAGGAGAGCAGCTGATTCTAGGGATGACCATTTGTCCACATCAAAAAGAAAGGAATCACTTATTGGACGGAGATCGAGAAAGCCCCATACTCGACCTACTTCCATCTTAAAGCATTGAAAAAAAGGCAGGCAGCTTTGTTGAGTTTCAGAGGTGAGGGAGGCCAAAAAAGGAGTTCAACCGTTCCCTAAAACTAAATATTACGTCAATGACTTTGAAGGGCCATTATTGAGTCAAGTAACTGAAACCGAGCTAAGAAGTCACATCTGAGCTAATTATAACTAACTCATCCGCCATGCAAACATAATAAATAAAACGAAACAAAGATAGATAGGAGTCTATCTTCAATAGGCATTGGAGTAGATCTCCACTAAAAAAAGACAAAGAACACCCTAATTAAAACACATTACTTTGCGTCTACAGACACTTAAACCTTCTAAAACTAAGTCGACTCTTCTATGGCGACCCGTGAAATTAGTTCCCTTCGTTTCTGGAGGAGGGTCTCCTTCCTCTCTTCCAATTTACTGTGGTATTGTGATGTTTCTTATGCTTTTAAATTAGTTGAACTTATCCAAAGAGATTATTGAGGTTGAATATTTGTAACGTGATTGCGTATCAAAATGCAATTTTCAGTAACTCAAAAAGAAAAGAAAAAATGCTTTCTGTCCCTCGAATGGATAAGGGAAGCTTTTGCTGTAGTTATTCTTCCTGTAATATTAGGCAGAAAGCATTATACTTGTGTCACTTTGTCATGCCGGTCCTCAAACTTAACAATTTGCCAATTGAACACTTACACTCCTTCAAACCGTATATAATAAACGCTTATGACAGGAGGTTGTCTTAATACAATCTCCTCCATGTTGGCTGCCACGTCAGAAAATAACAATGTGTAGATGTCATGTCACATGATAGATTAAAAATAATTAAAATCAAAAATAAAAATAAAATTCAAACATAAAAATCATCATACTTTTCCCGTTTCCTCCGACCACCGGAAATTCTTGTCGGTAAGTTCTTTCTTATCTCCAATTACCCTGTGTCTTCTCTCACCTGTGTATGCTCCCATCTAGAAATTGATTACAAAGAGAGAAACAAAATAAAATTTTGATTACAATTACATAGGGAACAAAAACTAGAAATTGGGGTTTGGGGAATTCGCGGAGTGAAATTTAAGGAGTGGTTATCCAAATCTGTGTTATATATAGAGAGAGAGAAATAAAATCGAATTTTGACAAGAGGGGTTGCTCTGATGGTAAGCACCCTCCACTTCCAACCGAGAGGTTGTGAGTTCGAGTCACCCCAAGAGCAAGGTGGGGGAGTTCTTGGAGGGAAGGATGCTGAGGGTCTATCGGAAACAGCCTATCTACCCCAGGGTAGGGGTAAGGTCTGCGTACACACTACCCTCCCCAGACCCCACTAGTGGGATTACACTGGGTGGTTGTTACCCCACTAGTGGGATTACACTGGGTGGTTGTTGTTGTTGTTGTTGTATTACTGAGAGAAGGGGGCTATACCATTCCATACCTTAGCCTTTCTCTCACCTTCCTCTCTTTTCTTCATTTTCTGCCGCATCTCTTCTTCTTCTTCCCTTTTCCTCTTTCTTTGCATACAAAATTCTTCTTCCTCTATCTAATTTTCTGCTCATAATTGCTCTGAGAAAAACAAAATAATAAAAATAAGATCAAATGGGTCAAGGCAAGAACTGGGCTTCCTAAGTGGTTTCTTGTAAGTTATTGTTAGTGATCAAACTGATATGTTGGTCCTGTTGGATGTTAGTTGTGGGAATTACATCAATGATTTGCACTAAGGAATTTGATTTAAATCTCAGATCAGTGTTAAATCAAATTCATTGTTTACACTCGCTTTATACGCATGTATTTCACACATTATGTCCAACTCAGCTGATTCAATGCCGTGTTTATTATATACAGTTTGAAGGAGTGTAAGTGTTCAATTGGCAAATTGTTAAGTTTGGAAACAAGCATGACAAAGTGGCACAAGTATAGGTGTCATTTAGGCCATTCTACCATAATATTATGCCGGAACTTGTGAAAAGTACATTAACATTTGGAGATAAATTTTACTCCCTTAAAAACAAGATAGGTAAATGTTCCACCACTTCAGGAATAAAAAGTTGGTACCCCTAGGTTTAGCCAATTCAACACAAACAATAATGAATTCATAGTGCCAAAGCAAGATCATCAGGAGTATATTTTCAGAAGAAAAAAGGTGCATTATACATCAAATTCACTGCACAATGATTAGGATCCATGCCCGCTCGTACATATTACAAGTATGTTATCTCTCATTCGGATACTTCTGTTGAAAGTCCGAGCTCCACTTTTGCGAGACCTTAAAAGCAAAACTTCTTTTTCTGCATAACAAACCAGCAGAGATACAAATCAATATTGAATCTTAAAATTCTAACACAACCACACATGAATGCACAAACATATCCCACAGAAAAAGGTGCACAAGCAATACTGCTCGAAACCTTGTCTATTCTTTTTTCTTTTCTTTTTTTTTGAAAAGGTAACGTAAACCTTGTATATTCTTAACTTATTAGTTTATATGCACCAACGCATTTTCTCAGAAGTTTCCAATACTATATCGACTTCCAATCCTGCTTAGGTTCACTCATTACTTGATGTTGTCGAACTACCAAAAAAAGCTGGAAACTCACCTGAAACTTTGCAGCTTTCGCAGCTTCTTGACCGTCAATGTACGCAAGAAGTTCCTCTTGTCTCATCAAAGCCTCATGCAAAGCCTGTTTCGAAAATAAGGAATATTATCAACTCAATAACCATGAAAAAGAGGTATGTGACATTTAGATGCTATTATTGTCAGCAACCCAACATTATATGTATTGAATGCTTGCCGAGGTATGTGGTATGCAGATGCTGTTATTCTCAGCAGTAATATGCAATGAAATGCTTGCTGAAACAAGTCATAAGTTTGACGACGACTTATCACCATAATTATGGAATATTAATTTAAGTTGCAAGCACACTAGCTGTCACGCTAATCATTGAATTCCAACATATTCTCTCGACTCTCTAATCTGCTAATGTTCTGGCCTCGGCCAACACTTGAAAAGCATAAAGGGTCTCGCATGACCAAGCCATAACATACTTGTAATATTTTAGACTTACATTTCATTAATTAAGCCTAATCTCACAAGTTGAAAATGATAAGCAATCAGCATTTCAAGCTGAGCAAGTAAACATAAAACATGCAAGTTCTGGTGAAGCAAAACCACTGGTTTCGCACCGTTATTCACATACTACATCATAAATTTTTACCTTCTTGGTTGCAATTAACTCAGCTTCTAGGGCATCCACACGGCAAACAGCAGCATTTAGCAATTCCTCTTTCTCATAAGGCATCTCAGATGGCTTTTCTTGAAGTGTATTTACTTTGTCCTCAAGTTCACCCAATTTCTTCAGAACAACAGAAAGCAGCTGAGCTTCTGTAAAGGCTGGAATTGGTGAAGGTGGCCGAAAATCCTCTTTACTGATTGCATCAGAGGTGAATTCTTGAACTGCTTGGTCTTGACCATTTGATGGATCAGGAAGTTTCTTGGTTACACGGCATAGCACTGAACGGAAAAACATCAACACAGTCGTGAAGAAGGCCAGAAGAAGTCCCAATATCCGAGTACTAAGACCACCTGCGGGCTTCTGAGAATCTGCTGGTGGAAGCATCCCTGAATAAAATGTAAATAGCCACATACCTCATGTCAGTACGAATTGAAACTTATAACGGACTAATAAAATAGAACATGGCCAACAGGTAGGATAAATGCCATATTAACCACAGACATCTGCAAGTTCCAGCTTTACGACCAAAATAGAGCTAAAAGCAAAACAGACAGAATAAAATTCACACTATTAGTTGCACCCAACACAGATTGTCTTGGATGCAGGTGGCCACAAGCAGCACTGACGCCTGACTACTGCATGCAACTAAAAAACCATATTAAGACAATTAGAGTATCAGAATAATACATACATATATACACATTATACTGAATCATAAACAGGAAGTACATCCAAAGTACAGGGTGAGAACTACAGTGAACTAAATGCACTGTAAAAGATTAGGGGCATACTGAAATCTAACTAAAAAGGTAAAAGATTAAGAGACTCTTATGCTTCCTCCCATCTTCTTTCCAATAACTTGTTTGTACAAATGCATGTGTTCTTCGGAGAAGTCTAACCTTTGGAAATGGAAGCTCTTTGAAAGGATGTTTGTTTCTTCCACACAGAATCAACCGCCTTGTCAACCATGGGAACATATTCATCATATCCGGAGAAGTTTGTAGTGTAGCCTGAGGTTCCAGCCTTAGCCTGTTTGATAAAAAAACAATAGTATATGATAAGAAAAGTGTATAAGCTCAATTTCGTTCAGGAAGGGAATGTGGAAGGAGATATTTTCATGAAAACTAAGGGAATGCAAATCCTTTATTATTCCAAGCCTCCGTGAAAGGAAATTTTACATTCTCTGCAATAAAAGAAACGCTAATTCATGAAATTAGGTGAATAGGAAGAAATATACCTCTTCACGAACAGGAGTAAGCCGTAGATGGGAATAATTCCTTACAGCTTTAGGGGAAGCAATATCTTCAGCTTCAGATCCCGATTCAGCGGTGGAGGTATCACTACCTTTTACCTGTTAAAATTCAAAATACATGTAGCAATCTTCAAAGGAGGTTGACCATTTAGAGTGTTCTCATAATTTAGGAGAAACAGTAGAAGCCATACCGTGGGGAAGCGGGGTTTAGCATAAACTACCTTGCCTTCACTGTTTACAACTTTAACGACCTGCCTGGCACGCCGTGCTTCACCAATCATCTGGCATCAAAGAAGGAAGCAGTGTTTTCTCATTACTCAAAAGTTAAAATAGTTTTTCTTCAAGGTAGAAATGCCTGCTCATTACTAAAGACATCAAGAACAAGAAGACCCTTCTTCCAGAAAAGAAGAGTGCAGAAAATAAATGCGACGAAAAGAAAAAAAAAGATCCTGACTTCCTAAAAAAAGTTAGGAAAAGAACATCTTTCGAAACAAAATTGCTCTCAGATGCAAGGGTGTAGATGAAACCTTTAGTATCTCCGGATTTTTCCATGGCCCTTTATCTGAACGAAGGCAACCTCCTTGATCTGCACATGTACAAGTTCCACCCAGAAACTCTGGCAACTCACTGTACAAAATCAAAAATCAGTAACATAATTTTTAACGAATGAAATATGCAATACCATCGAAAGCAGAAATAAAGCAAAATTTTCCTTGTATAGTGGAAAAGAATGCTGAAACCCTTTACCTAGCATCAACTATTTCAAGCAATTTGTTTTGGTACTTGTTTCCAAGAACCTATAAGAAATTTGACAACATAAGCAAATGAGTAAATGTAGCCAAATAACTGATAATGTTACACTTTGAGAAGTGGCAGTAGAAGAGCATAGACAAACATGTATCTTGGAGGTGGTCTTGGGATCCAGAAAACTCTTAACAGTATTCCACAGCAGCCTAAAGCCAGGTCCAGCATTGATGATAAACATCTGATGAAGTGTCTGCACCAGCCAAAATGTAGCAACATGTGTTAATGAACCGAAAACTAGAAAAGACCATATAGTACCTACTGAGATAGGGATATAATCATGCCTCGGGATAATTATCACCATCAATCTTCTGAAGTCGCACAATGAGCTCTCTTGCACTCTTGTTAAAGTTCTTCAAACCCTGAGAAATTAACACAAGAAAATGAAAATAGGTAAATCCTATTGTGCTAAAAATTCAATCTGAAATCATGACAGATTAGCGCAAGAAAACTAATGGTAGGCGACATACCACTCCCTGGACGTCCAAAATAGTGGTACTAGAATCAATCTGCCTTTTAGCAGCAACTGTACATGCTGGAAACTTGATTGCAAAAGTTATCTCGAACTCTCTTACATGGTTTCTTATGTAACGGTCCATTGTTGTGACTTGCATAAGTTTATTAGGATCAACTTTCCCTAGCCTTTCAATGTATACCGGTCTTCCCTCCTTATCAATCCCGTGATAACCTTGGGGATAGTATTTCGAAACTTCATCCTGCTCTTGGAATTGAAAATCCTGATGGAAAATTTGGTATAGGATATATTTCAGAATAAATGAAGTCACTAGAATCTTGATATATGAAGAAATACCGTCACTATCCATCAGAGGAGAAATAAGTTACATGGATAATGGTGTCAGCACCAAATTCCTTCCTCCACTGAAGCATATCAGCCCACATATGCTTTGCTTTATCAATATCAAACTTTCTTGCTTTCAGAAACCTGCAAAAAACTCATAAGGAAAAATAAATGAAATAACAAAAACAAGAATTGACCACCAGACAGTTCTTAATCAAAAGCCTGCATAAATCTATATCCTCTTTCATTTGCCTAATCTAAGAGCTAATACCTATGCTCACAATGTCTACCACTTCTAACTTTTGTTTCAATTGGCAGGCACGATGGAGAAGTGCATAGAGAAAGTTGACATATAATATCGAGAGTAAATTTCACAGCAGACCTCTTTGACTAGAGCAAACTAAAGAACAAAATACTACATGAGGTCACGGAAAAAGTTGACAGATCTTTTTTGAACTTACTCTACTTAAGACAAAGAAAAGAGCCGATATCATGTGTCATTTGTAGTAGACAGAGGCAAGCAGAGGTAATATGTATGACTATGGCTCCAGAAATTGTAACACATCAAAATAATAGAACAAACCAAAAAAAGAAAAAAGAGCACAAAAGAAGAAACACTGTTGAAGGCACCGGAACCTGGGCTAACCATATGATGGTCCTAGAAAAATTCATTT